ATGAAAACTTTCTTAATTCATTGTATAATTGTCATAATCTAATTCCCTTTAGTCTGACAGGGTTGGCATATTTTAGTGTTTTTATTAAAAAAAATCCCCTGTCAGCCCGTATTAAAGCACCTGTTTACCATTTTAGCAACCAAAACGAAACTCTAATAATGCTTTTATAAACAATTTGCAAATGATAATAATATTATTAAAACATTTTAGGATTGGAGTAATGGTTCTTAAAGAGCAGGAAAGACTGGCGAGATGTTTGAGAAATAAATCAAAAACAATGAAACATCAAAATATTCCATTTTTCTTTACAAGGAACAGTAAAAAGAGCAGGTAGGTAACCCGTTTTCATATGAAAAGTTTATGTTAACGAAACTCACGACGAAATTTTACGTGACCCTCCGTTTGAGGTGCATGCTTGATTCGCAACGGTACCCTTGAATCCTTAAATAACAATGAGAAGAATGTAATTTTCCTTCCCTGTCTCTTCAGCATGAATCCGCCAAAGACCTCATAACTTAGACCATGATTTTGAATTCTTAATTTATTGAGACCAATAATTGAGAGTCTTTTTATGAACCATTATTTAACATTCAGAAACCAACAAAAAAAATTATTTTTTGCAGTTCCAGATTTTCTGTGAAGAAACAAGATAACATATTCGATTTTTCAGGTTTTAAATTTTTTGAATTTTAAAAAACAACTTATTCCTGTTTTTATACGGTGGTAGACGATTATATCAATACAATGAAGACGACTTTCGATTTCAATTTTGATCTAAATAAACTTTTTAATCAGCATGAATCTACGAAAAAAGGAAACAAAGAGAAGCTGTCGATTAAAAAAAGCTTCTCTTTTATCACTTGTGAACTTGTAATTCGAAAAAAGCTTGTTAACAATAAAAACTTAAATAAAAAGTCGTCTTCATTATATTGATATTATCAATATCGTATATTTTTACTAAATGATTTGTTTGTTTAGTTAGCAGAAGAATTAACCCTGTTCCTGAGACAGAAATAAGATACTGAATTTTCTAACAGCATTGTTTTAAATAGAAACCCCTGGCAATAGTATACTCGATTAAACTTGTTGTGTAAAATATGTTTTTTTTAATTGAGGACAACTATTGGCTGTTATTAACTGTTCCCGTCATTTTTTTCTTAGCTTTAGCATGCTAATAGATAATTCTGAATATTTGTATTAATTGATTATTATATTCGAACAAAGTTTAATGCATCTCTCTCAATGTGATTTTTGACGGTCAACTTTTGTTCCTTTATTCTAATGTCAAATTTTGTCATATAGTATTCTATCAGGTCATTGTCTTTGTTGCATAAAAGTCACAAGTCACTTTTATGGACTGTGGACAAATTAAAATTTCAACATAAAAACTAAGTGGTTTCCTTGTTTTGTCCTGGTATGTCAAATTTTGTCCTAGAATTCTATCAGGTTAAATATATCTGTTTTTTTGTACATGCATTGATAGACAAGTCTGAAATGGGAAGACCAATTTTATAATCAATTTTGCAGTGTAAATAGGTCCATTTTTCTAAATTAGTGATTTATTACAGTTAAAACAAGATTTTTATAGCTTTGAATAAATTTACAAAATGTCGTCTTGACAATTTTTTAATGGGGTTTTTACTTTTATATTTTAATCTTAATTTTAATGATAAATAAATAGCAATGAAAAGGGGGGGAAAGGGCACTTGTCAAAAGGGATTTCTAAAAGTTGTTATTTTGAAACATTTTTAATATTTGGAAAAATTGTTTGCAAAAAATCCATATAGGTAAAAATGTGTTTCTTGCTTAAATGTCTGTAAAAGTGAATATTTTCAACAAAAAAAATTAAATAAAGTTTTGAAGAAAAGTTGTATTCTTGTTTATGAATGCATTAAAGTATATCTGAGTTTTCTGATACGGAAGAGTTTTTGAAGTTTAACTCAAATTGAACTCAGGATATTCACGAGGGACGGGGGGGGGGGTCGCTTCCATGAGCCCAACCATATTCAGAGATGTCGAAACTTCTGGTTGGATCTTGAACACTTGATCTCGATATTTAATGTGGCACTTTGAAATTTGAGGATAAATGCCTGATCCCTAAATTAAAGTTGACCCGGCAGTGTAAAAACAGGAAAATTCATTTTGTGCATTGTTTAATGTAAAAAGGGAATCCTTGAAAATTTACAATTTTTAGATTGATTCTGATATATATTCCACGGACTTTTTGACTTTAATAACGACTACAGTATTTTCATTGGAGACCCCAAAATATTTGTTTTAGACCCTCAACTTTTATTGAAGAACCCAGATTTCATTGAAGACCCAAAACTTTTTTATGGGGTCTCCAATGAAATTATGGAAGTCTGAAGTCCTTAATTAAATTATGGGATCTCCAATGCAAATCTGATTTCGAAAATTCAAACTTTACGTAAATACAAAACAATTTCCAAGTTCTTAAATTTACAAATATAACAGTTTCTGCGAATTTTACGATCCTGGGTCTATGAAAGACCCAACTCAAGAATAGTGAAAAACCAACTCGATCGGTTCTTCATAAGCTCAAGTCGAGCGAATGACTCGAGTCCAGGGTTGAGCTTTACTTGGGTCTAAGCAGACGCAAAGCCCGGGTTTTAGTCGGGTTTAAGCTTTTAAAATCTCATCTGGGGGTCACCATTGCAAATCTGGGGGTCTCCATTGCAAATCTGGGGGTCTCCAATGCAAATCTGGGGGTCTCCAATACAAATCCTGGGGTCTTCAATGCAAATCTGGGGGTCTCCAATGCAAATCTGGGGGTCTCCAATCCAAATCTGGGGGACTCCAATGCAAATCTGTGATTCAACGCGGCATGCGCACTTAACTTCCTCGGGCGTCTGCCATGAAAACATCGGGGTCTCCGATAATAACCTTGGGGTCTCCGATAATAACCTTGGGGTCTCCGATAATAACCTTGGGGTCTCCGATAATAACCTTGGGGTCTCCGATAAGACAGTCATGAGGGTCTAGGATGAAAGGGGGTCTCCAACACTCCAATGATAGCGATTTCTTCCCAGACTACCCTGTAGACTGTACTGTAGACTACCCTGTAGACTGTACTGTAGACTACCCTGTAGACTGTAACTGAATATTTATCATTATATTTCATTAATTAGCACAACAAACATCATGTCAAATATTACATGCATACAAATATACTGTAACAAAATTGTAGACTTTTATTTCAAAAGTATCATGCCCAATTCACACTGGTACCCTTTAAACTTTTGTCTAATCAAGGATGAGTGAGATATCCTTGATTTTCTGTGTGTAAATCAAAAAATTTCATTTGTGGCTTTCCAAACACTTTATAAAGATTGAAACCGTAAAATCTTCCTCGTTGTTACATAGAAATGGTTTAACGGTTTCCGTTGAATACTATGGTGTTTTGTTGAAAGTATATATTTTCTAGTTTTATTATTTCCACCATTGCATTCTTTAAGAACTGACGAGGATATAAAAATTGTCGAAAATAAAATCCAAATCCGAGTTTTTCTATCTGGGATATATAGTGAAAGAAACTCTTTTTTGCCAATTTGGACAATTTACGGTGAATATGATGTTTGCCATTATTTTGAGTTAGTTTGTTCAAAGGCAAAAATATTTTGCCATTATTTGAGTTAATTTTCCTTGTTATTTTTGTGACACCCTGTAAAATAAACATTACTGAGCGTTTTCCAGGTATTTTGCAGAATGTTTAATGCTATACGTCGGAGAGTTTCTTATCCTTATCATAAATTATAATTTTTAAAGGAAACTACGTCTTTTCATTTTTCTGCGTGAAGAAGTACAAACATAATATTTAAATTCTATCTAATATTCTTGTTATCTTTCCGTTCTCAAGTGCCATATTGTGTCAGTTGATGATACTCTTCAAAACATGTCGAATTAGTGTAAAATAGTTGCTCCTAAATTCAATACGATGAAGACGACTTTCAATATCAAGCTGTTTAAATTAAAGGACACACATAAACTGAGATTGCAAGAGAAGCTGTCATTTAAAAAAGCTTTATATTAATTATTTGTAATTTGTAAACTTATAATTCGATTGTTAACAATCAAAACTGAAATAAAAAGTATTCTTCATTGTATTAATTCCTACCACTGTAGTTTATTTCAGTTTTATATATGATTATTTTAAGGCTTACTGGGACCGACTCTAATGAAATTGAGAGGTTATTGAACTATCTACTTCCGATTCAAAACCTTAACTTTAAATCTGTTAGCCAGGATTTAAACTGGCGGTGTATTCTTCTACTACCTCTTACTATAATCTACGTAGAACTTTAGAAGGAGCTGATTCATTTGGTGACCTGTCCCGTTTTATAAATATATATCTTGTCTAGTATGTTATATATATACTGATGCACCGTGCTTTAGCTGCTGAATAGTCGGTTCGGTACTAGAAATAAACCGTTTGCTTAATCGCAATATCTACAATGGACCCATGTTGTATAAAAAGGTTGGTTGCTCTCGATGTGCTCCATGTATACGGAAAATGTCGAGTCTCCTAGATAGATAGATAAAAACCTCAAATGACATCACTTTCGCCCTATAATCAGTGACGCAATATGATATTTTTATCTAACTATTTTAGAAGGCGATATTTACCGTACATTGGAGCGCATCGATAGTAACTAACCTTATTATACAAGCTTGCCTTGGACACTTTAAATTTCTTTTTAAAAATTCTGCTGGGTTCCAACCAACAAGAATTTTTGACTGCGCACAAAATTTCCCTGCTTCTAATTGACTCTTCGGTTTCTGCAAACGACACTCTGATTGGTTGAATTCTATACACGTTCCTGGATATTAAATTGAGATTATGTAATCTGAGATTAACAAAACGAGGATATTAAGCTGACCATTGGTCTTGATATCCACAATATTATATAATCTGAGACTAACAAAACAAGGATATTAAGCTGCTTTCTTTATATCCACAATACATTAGTTTCCATTTTCGGCGCTTAAGCAGTTTTTACCTAATTCCAATAGAGAAAATGTGGTGGCAGATATGTGCAGCTGCTGCTGTTGTTGTTGTTGGTACAACTAGCGCCACCCATCCACACAATGTGAAAGCACTAGCCGACCAATGGCAGAATAAGGTCAGAACTCAGAAACCAGTTTACTTCATCATTAAAAAGAATGAGAAAAATTTTTTCAAGTTTTCTATAACGACCTTTTTTATTATACGTGGTAAATTTGTTTAACAAAACTTTTTTCATTTATATAATTTAATGGATGAAGGAGAGTCCTGAGATTTGTATTGCACTTCACTGTGCTTTCCAGTCAGGTGCTTGTGTTTTCGATTCACAGTGCTTTGCTGCTTTACAGGTAAATTCAGAACAAATTCATACATACAATTTATTTATCAAAAATTTGATTCTCAACAAACCCCTCCCCCTCTCATTCTTCATTTTTTTTCATTGTATAGATTTCCTTTGCATGAAAACAAAATATGTTTTTGCGAATTTTAGATTTCAAAGGAAATGAATGATTTTTGAGATAAAGCATGAAATAACAACTATAGATATCCTTAGATTTTGAATCATTGTTATCTCTGTTAAATTAGAAAATGTAACAGAATTGATTAGGTTTTATAAGATTTAAATCGACCACATAAAGATCCGATTTGTTCAGCATTGTTCGTATTAACTTGGATTTGTTATTTTTTTTTGTGGATTAAAAAAAAATCATATTAAATCCTTTATTATCATTATTAACCCCATGTTTAAGTGTATGCTGGACTGTGAGGGTAGGGAGGATGAGCTGCAATGTCAGTTTGAATGTGAGATGACGCTCGGAAATGGAAACGAAGCGTTTGAAAATCTTCTCCGGGTATCTTCAACCTAATTTTTTATCAAATAAAGAAACTGAACACTTGCTGCAAACTCTATTTTTAAAATCTCTAAATCCTTGTGACCTGATGGGGGAAACCTTGATATTTCAAATTAACACTGCTTGATCTAGTAAATTTCATGACTTCAAATATGAGTGGTCTACAAAAAAAGGGATTAGATAATGTTTATTTCTCTTGTTAAACCAAAAGAGTTGTCTAAATGAGCTTTACAGACAGGGTTTCCAACGAAACATAACAGTTGGAAGATAGTTTAAAATGTCTTCGTTCATAATTTGTTCAGTTCTTTGATACCAAAGAAAATTATTAAAAATGTGGAAGTCCGATTATAATAAAATTGATTTAAAAGAAAAATATATTTGAGTAAAAGATTTTTTATCTTAAAACAGAGAAAAAAAACTTAAATTGCTAATATTTGTAGTTTAAGGAATAAAACATTCAAAACTATTAACAATGCAACTGTCATGGTTCGTGGACACCCTTTACCTGCTTAACGAAGTTAATATTAAAATCAAGTTCTCCTTGTTTAGTGCATGGCTGAAAATGGTTGTTTCCCCGAGGTGCCTCCAGATGGACTCTGCCTTGCAAGTAAAGATAAAAAATTTGTTTGTGTTTCTATCACAGACTGCTCATAAGCTTTACCTGTATAGACATTGCAGGCCAATAGTGGTCCTGGCACGCTTGCTATATTTCTAGGACGGGGGTATTGACTGCCATCTAACAGCCACTTCTTGTATATAATACCTATTCAAGGGATAAGTTTTACAATTTTGAAGAAATGCTCAAACTTTTAAGATAAAACATACAATTTAGGAATTTAGTCTATTTTTGAAGGTGTTGTATTTTGTATTCAAATGATCCTTAAATATCCCTGAATACAGATGTCTGTTTATTGGTCGTGTACTCCAGTTGTACATAATGTACTGCTGCTGTAATATATTGTCTTATCTTTGGTTTCTAAATTCTTGAAATATTGTCTTTTCCTTTTTCCAGGTGAAAGGGATACTGTGCAGGAAATCACTGATATAGCTATGGTAGCCGGCAGCTGGTGGGTCGTCAGAGGACTTAATTGTGGTCAGGAGGGTTGGCCGGGAGCATACGATTGGTAATTTAGGGGGGGGGGGCAACTGAATATTTTACAGTGAGAATCAGAAAACTGTGGAATAGAAAGACGACTTTTACACTAAAATTGTGATTTTAAACAGTCCAAGTGAACATGAGATATTATGAGACTTAATAAGGGTGTTTAAGCTACAACTTGCTTTTAACGACATCAACTACAGTTAAAGATTAACAAACTGTCGTCTTCCTATTCCATAGTTTTCTCGGTCTCACTGGTAAACTAATGTTATAAAAAAATGTTGGCACCTTCTTTCTTGTTCGTTATTTGCTGGTTTTAATATAATTCTAAAGTGACATAAAAAACATATCCTTTAAAATAGTATAGTGCATTAATTATCACCCTAGATCGATCACACACAAGCTAATCTTTTCTGAGACACAATTCAAATATGACTTTAAATTGATTTTATGTTCTTTGTTTAAACAACGTGCTATATATATATATATATAATTATGTACACTATGATTTCATATCAGCGTGGTAGATATATAATTATGTACACGAGGTATCCCTGTCAGCGAGCTAGATATATAATTATGTACACGCGGTATCCATGTCAGCGTGCTAGATACACAATTATGTACAATATGTAATCATGGAATCCATGTCAGCGTAGTAGATATATAATTATGTAAACCAAGTATCCGTGTCAGCGTGCTATAGTTATATAATTATGTAAATTAGGTTTCCATGACAGCGTGCTAGATTTACAATTATGTACAATAGGTATACATGGAATCCCAGTTAGCGTGGTAGATATATAATTATTACAATATGTATACATGGAATCCATGTCAGCGTGCTAGATATACAATTATGTAAATTAGGTATCCATGACAGCGTGCTAGATATACAATTGTGTACACTAGATATCCATGTCAGCGTGCTATATATACAATTATGTACACTAGGTTTCCATGTCAGCGTGCTTGGTATACAGTTATGTACAATAGGTATCCATGGAATACATGTCAGCGTACTATAGTTATACAATTATGTGCACTAGGTATCCATGTCAGCGTGCTAGATATATAATTATGTACACGAGGTTTCCATGTCAGCGTGGTAGATATATAATTATGTACACTAGGTATCCATGTCAGCGTGCTAGATATATACTGCTGGAGGATGGTTGGGTAAACAACACAACGTACTGCGGTGGAATAGATTCAGTTTGTACAACAGGGATATATTTAACCACAATAAGATAAATATAATTTCATTATAATTCTAAATTAAAAAATAACCGCGTTATAATTGAGCGCCGGCTTAAATCTTGAAACATTGAATTCAATTTTAAGTGGAACCTTCCATATTTCAGCCGCGTCTCAAATTTAAGCCGCAGCTCAAATTCTTAAAATTCGGCCTCTGTTTTCTCACGAAAAAAAATTAGAAGATCGTCTTTTAAAAAATTTGCGGCATTCCTTTGCAAGCCAACTTTAACAATAATGATCGTTGAAATAATAATCCAAAATTTCAATTTATTGCATAAACCATAATTGTCCAAATTGAAACAAAGTTCTTCTTATCTCTGAAAATTTTGCTTAGCAATAAAGGCACACCACATTTTGGAAATACAGTTACTAGAATTATTTTGCGAATATTGTTTAAAGAATTTTTTTGTTTACGTAAAGTGTATTTGCGCTTTTATGTTCGTGAATTTTTTTTAATTTTTACAAATATCTATTATAGATAAAAAAATCTTTACCATTAATTCTAATTTTCTCAACTATAGATTATATAAAATTTCATTTTTTGTGCTTTGAAATTGGAATCTCCTTCCAATTTTGACAGAGAACTTTAATTTTGTAAGATTTCATTTTATTATGTAGAGTAACGTTTAGATGAACAAACAAAATGTAAAAATTAAAAATTTTCTGTTGATATCTTCCATTTTGAGTTTTGGTTAGATATCTTTCTTTAGAAACAATTGTTACAATGCCTCAAGCAACCCTTCCTGCTCCTGGACTCATTAGATTAGAGTACTTAGACGAACCCTTATTACCACAGGTAGACAGGTAGACAGGTAGACAGGCAGACGAGTAGACAGGTAGACAGGTAGACAGGTAGACAGGTAGACAGGTAGAAAGGTAGAAAGGTAGACAGGTAGACAGGTAGACAGGTAGACAGGTAGACAGGTAGACAGGTAGACAGGTAGACAGGTAGACAGGTAGACAGGTAGAAAGGTAGACAGGTAGACAGGTAGAAAGGTAGACAGGTAGACAGGTAGACAGGTAGACAGGTAGAAGGTAGACAGGTAGACAGGTAGACAGGTAGACAGGTAGACAGGTAGACAGGTAAACAGGTATAGCTGATCATATCTTATTAGATAACATCTAATCTGATCTAATCTTATCTAGCTAATCTCACTAATCTAAAGCTATAGGTAAATATATTTGTGTGGACTATTGTTAATCCTAAACACATGATCTTGATATACAATGTGGGAAATTTTGAATTTAAAGATTAATGCTTAATCCCTTCATTTCTGATCTGATCTGATCTGATCAGATCTGATCTGATCTGATCTGATCTGATCTGATATATAGATTGAGAGATGGCATATAGTGTCTAAACCAAGTGAAGATTATATGATGGTGATCTGGTGTGGAGATAACCCAGCTCTTAGTTATAACGGTGGATTTGTAGTCTCCAGGTAACAGTTTAAAGGGACTGTTGGTGGATTTGTAGCCTACAGGTAACAGTTTAAAGGGACTGTTGGTGGATTTGTAATCTACAGGTAACAGTTTAAAGGGACTGTTGGTGGATTTGTAGTCTCCAGGTAACAGTTTAAAGGGACTGCTGGTGGATTTGTAGTCTCCAGGTAACAGTTTAAAGGGACTGTTGGTGGATTTGTAGTCTCCAGGTAACAGTTTAAAGGGACTGTTGGTGGATTTGTAGTCTCCAGGTAACAGTTTAAAGGGACTGTTGGTGGATTTGTAGTCTCCAGGTGACAGTTTAAAGGGACTGTTCACGTAATGTTAAGTGACTCTCCATTGGTAAAATACACAATGGTACCCTTTCAAGATTTGAATAATATGAAATAGATATTTTTTTGTTTTTAACTGTTTATTTTTATTTTTGGTTTCTCATCAGAGTACACTGATTAAAAAACTATGGAGAAATTGTCAGAATTAAACACTCTTAAAGGGAGTGACCGGCAATGTATGGTAGTTTAACTGAAAATGCAGTATTGTGGAGAAATTTTTACTGAAGAATTTGTGTTACATTTTTTGTCGTCGTTATTTAATAATTTAAAAAAATCGATTCTCAAAAAGTAACCACCCAAATTGATGATTTTGAAAGTCGACTTTGTGCACAAACTCAGTAATTATACATCATTAAAACGTTTTACATATCTCAAATGAGTCCTAAAAAATTTCTCCTCAATACTACATTCTCAGTTTAACTACCATGCATTGCCGGCCACTCCCTTTAAGCTGGAAAAACGACGTCTTCTTCCACATTATTTATGAAATTAAGGTTTCAAGGGTACCGTTGTGCTTCGGGCATGCCTCTTATTAAGGTTCCCTTAAGATTACAACACAGTCTCTTTAAGAAATATTTTCTATATTCCGGAATTAAATGTCTCAATCCCTGAAAATAATTTGTCTAGTCTTTTTGCATCGTCATTCGTTATCAACTTTTAAAAGATCAAGTCATTCACAAAACTTTGCAAATTAAGCGTCAACTTTCAGACCAGGGCAGACTTTGAAGTTACGCCAGGTCTTTGCCTTTGTTTAACTTCAAACGAATATAACCTAGACATGAAAACTTCAACGCAGTAAAGCCCATGTATTAGCTAAGTTTTAAGCGAGAGTCTGCCAACATCTTAATCTATTTTCGCGTCAATTTGTGCAATATTTCCAATTATTATGTCACCAAATCCTTTCTTATTTTTTTTATATATAATTATGTTTTAGATTTAGAACAGAGAACGATTTGCCAGCTGAGGAAACAAACAAAACAATATTTACAAAAAAAATATTTTAATTATTTACAACTACTTTGCAGGGAAGATAGGGAATTTTATTTCCCTTGGGAGGGAACCCAGGGTTAAGTAAAATTTTTAATTTTCGAACAAAGCAGTTGTACACAACTTTATTGTCTATTGAGATAAAAATGCGTGAATTATTTTTGCGAAGACTTCCCAAGGAACGTTAAGTTACTAGTTGGGGGATCATGATTATTTAATGTTGTTAACCCTATTCCCGCTGGGCCCCCCCCAGTCAATTTGACCCCCCCTGTAGTTTTTTTTACATAACTCAAAAAGTATTGGTCTGAGGCTGTTGAAATTTTCTGACTTTTCTTACATACCCAAAGCCCTCCCTTCAGGCCTAAAACCGGGCTTTAATACTAACTGCCTGAGTCCTCAGGCACACTGCCTGAATGACTGTTTTTGCCTGTAGCAAACTAAATCTTTGTTTTGACCCACTTTCACTTGTCAGATTTTGATAAAATTTAGCTTTTTGGAAAGCCTATGACATAAGGAAACGGATTGCACAAGTTTTGCGAAAAAAAAATTGCAAATTTTTTGCAAACAACCTGTCAAAGGAAATTTGCACATTTTTAGTTTTTCTTGATTAAAAATCAGGTTATTTAAAATTTTGCAAAAATTTTTGCATATTTGAAATGGCATGGTCAAGGGCTTTTCAAAAATGTATAATTTGTCATTTTTTGGACAAATTTTTTTTTGCAAACATTTTTACTTTAAAACTGGATTTTGCGATAAAAAATTCAATTTTCGCAAATTTGCAAATTTTTTTGCAGATTCTAAAAGTAGAGCACAAGAGCTTTCTAATGATGTATCATTTGTCATATTTGGACATAAAACATGGGATTTAGAGGGGGGGGGGTCAAATTGACCCCCCCCCCCAGCGTATCCTGGTTTTCAAGTACCCCAGCGGGGATAGGGTTAAAAAGGCGGTAAAAATTGTTAATACTACAATGATAAACGCCGAAGCGGTATAAAACAGAAATAAGGTCGTCTTTGCTGAATCTTTATAATTAAGATTTTGTTACTTTTAGGGACTGGTAATATGAAGGAATATAAATTTCTAGCCCATGCCACATTCTTCTCATTTTCTCGTCCGAGCCACCTCGAAATCCTCGTCCTTTGATTATTATGTGTTTAAAAGTTTATAATTCTTGAAGATAAAACTATTTTTTTTAATCTGCCCACGTTTGGGCAAACAATATGCGTAGACTATAAAAGTATTGCAATGATTACATTAAGTTGGAATCTTTAAATCCATAAGAATGATGTCAAACTTCATTTAGGTAAAACTCAAATCTCTTCTGCCTCAATAATGGCTAACCTTCGCGTTAAAAAAATAGCAAAATATTTGGCATACCTCTGCCTATAATTGAACCACTTGGAACATTTCTATGGTTTTCACTACAATTTTTAAAAAAGATTTAAGTTCAAACTCGGAATTATTTGCGGCATTCTACACCAGGAATATCTAAAATGTGCGTAAAAATGTGAGCCTTTTCAAAGACATTGAACTTAAAAACTTTAATTAAATTGAAACTTTTTTTTCAATTTACAAAATTTCAATTTGTATTTAATATTTATGCCCTAACGTGGCCTAATTCTTAAAAAATAGTTGTATCTTGGAGGAAACCAATATTGGAAGGTCGAGGATTTCGAGGTGGCTCGGACTAGAAATTGTTGTGCTCGAATTATATGAGTCGACTAACGTCAAGTCTAATAAAGACGACTTTTATCTAGTTTTTACAAGTTACAACTGTAGTTAACGCCTTTCTAAAACCTTTTAAAAGCTAAAACTATATAAGTTTTCCTAAAGGTTGATTTTTTTTCATAATGCCTTTTTAATTGTTAGAAATAAGTTTTACTGTCATCAAATTTGTTAACCATTTCGGCGGGGGTTTTATTCTGAAAATCTAGTTTCATTGGATTTACGAGATTATGATCTAGATAAAAGATGATTCTTTTCAGAACCGATTTTTCTTAAGCTTTGTTATTGTTTTTGTTGTACTGCAGATTGAGGAAGAGTTTAGAAGCGTAGCTGCGTCATTTGGAATAGAATATGACGCAATGTGCGTCACTGACAACACGAACTGTGATGGAGAACCATAAATTAATTATAATGATTATTGTTCATAATTTTTAATAAAAACTATTAGACATTTTTATCTTAGATTAAATATTTGTATCAGGGAATAAGAATAAGGGGAAAGGAAATGGCGCTGGTCTAGCTCGAGAAAGCCAGTCGCACTGCTTTGCAGGCGAGTTCGTTATTTCACACGCACACTCTTTTGGTACAGACACACAGCATGACTACAGGCAAGGAAAGTGCAGAACAATGTCGTCAATTATAATTAAGCTTGAATAATGAGTAGTTTATTGTAAAATTTAATCAAATTTTATTCTTTGCATGAAAATATGGTTTATTACAATGTTGACTTAAATATATAAATAATATATAACATTTATATTAAACTTATTTTTAAGTGAACAATTAGCAATAAACAAATGTACTCTCCTAGACTGTACAAATGCCGAGATTCTTATGTACTATATATACCTACAATACACGCCTTCGGTTTGTTATTACTTACACACATTCTTTTGGTACAGACACACAGGCATGACGTTTCCGCCCCCTGAGTTGTATAGAGAAACGTAAGGGAGCGTAGATAGTCATATGCATTTTTTCCGTTTTTTTCAAAATCAAAATTCAAAAATCACGAAAGTTTAACAAATATTTTGAATAATATGTTCTTTTTCAAAACGTTTCAACTTTGTAAAATTATATAGATTAAAGTCTAACTATTGGGTTTTATTGGGTCAAGAATATATTTTCTGCTGGAGTCAAATCTTTGCAAAATGTACTTTAAAAAGTTCAGTAACCATGAAACACAGCAATTGTGCAGTGTAAACAATCCAATTTCACAAAAAAGAAATTTTTAAAGTGTCTGATAAAACTATATTGCTTTGTAACACAATTGAATTCACTTAAGCATTGATAAAATGTCGTCTTCCTATTTCATTGTTTTCTGGTTATCGCTGTATATAAAAGTTACATTCCGGAAAAGTCATTGATAAGTAAATATAGAATCAGTTGTCAAATTTTTTATTTGTCAACAACAACAAAAATGTTATTTTCAACATATTTCAGGTCTGTTTAAAGGGGGGGGGGGATATGGCGGGTCGTCGTAAACTAGACCCTTCATAAATTTAAAACAGCCAGCCTTCATAGGGTTGAATGAAATTACATGTATATATTAAATTTTTCATTAGAACAAAATTAACTAAATAAGCAGGGGCTGATGATACAGGGGGGGGGCGACAGGACCTTTGCACCCCCCTGACGGATTTCAGAATAGCTCCTCAAGCTCCTCAATAGCACTTAAGGGAAGGAAAACCTAGTGCAAAACAGGAAAAATATCTATCTTAAAAAAACTTTTGTTCTTAAATCTGAATGTTTTTGTTCCGAAATAAATCTAGCACCCCCCCCCTCACTTAAATCCAGTATCCGCCCCTGTAAATAAGTCAAGACTCACCCTCTCCATTATCTATCTGTTCCTGTTGATATGGATGGTGGGGAGGATGGTCGACTGGGAACAGCGTTATAACATAACTTTCGTCCGGAAACGTATTTGTTTTCAAAATGTTTTGCACAGACAACACTAAATTTTCCAAGAGTCCAGAAACCTGGCCTTCCTGTGAAGTTACTCCACGTTTTTTTTAAAAAAGAATGAAATCTAATCTTATATGTTTGATCCGTGTTACAATTTAACACCGAACAATACCTCATGCTTGTTTATACTGAGAAATCATGTAACTGATCAAAACAAATCCCCCCAAGAACAGTGTACTACATGTACACAATAACATACCAATACATGTTTACATTGTCATACCAGTATAGGTGCCACCTGTTATTCTATAGTATATATATTCTGAGACTCCGACCCACACCCGTTTTCCCTTCCGGCAAAAATTCTGTACTTTTGTATGCTAATTATTGACGAATGCAGCATTAAGTTATAGACGGTTGCTGACGATAATATTCTCATATTATGTTTTGGAACACTAAAAATAAAAATTTCTTAGATAAAATGTCGCGCAATTCAGTTAAAGAATGTGCTTTAAACTTATGAATTGCACACCAAACTGTGACATTTCTTTTGAAAAATTATTATTTCTATTGGTTTCAACACTTTTTATGAGAATATTATCAACAGCCCCTAACTTTAACACATTAGGTAAAGAGTACATTATTTAAAACGCACTTTTTACTGTGGTTTGCTTCCTTCAGCCAAGACATTTTCTATTGTCACCAAAAAATATGATAAATTTAGTTTATATATGATCCACGTTATAACGTCTTTAAAAATCTAAATTTATGCTAAATTTGTCTATAATAAGCATACAAAAGTAATTGTAATTCGTCAAAGAATATACAAATCCAAATAGATTCTAGTACACTAGATGGCAACGTAGAACTCTCATGTCAACAAATGTGAGAAAATTTAGTTTTTTTGTTATATTTGACACTTGTGAAGTCGCGTATAATTGATCCATTTCTATGTTGCCACCTATTGTACTTGATAATCTATTTGATACAAATCAATATGTTTTCTGTTTGATTTACATTGTAGTAATTGTTAGAAGAATGGGTGAACCAAATAAATAGTAATAGAAAATACTAGCTGAAATGCCTGGCGTTGCCTGTGGAATTTTAGAAACACTTGAAAAAAAAAATTCAGCCAATTTGGTTCAGCCGTTTGGCCATTACAGCTTATATCTTTATCAACATGTATATGTAAGCGAAGAGAATTATCATATAGATGAAAATTACGATGTACGACGACAATTATTTGTAACAACTTTAAATCTATTTGAAGTCATTATATCTATATATCTAACAATGTACACTGTACAGTCTCTTTATATGTAAATTAATCAGACAATTTTATAATTGTTTTAAAACCTGAAATACATTAATCAATGATAAGTCTAATTTATTAATTAGTTCACGATTAAGCTTATCAGTTCAGAACTCCAGGCTGAATTAATAAAATCTAAATTAAACAAATTTTTGTATTTTTTGTTAAATTATATTTGACTGGATCAGGAGTTTTTTTTAGAGTTTCATTATTGTTTTTTATATTTTCCCCAATATGTTATGAATATTTGAAAAAGTCGAAGTAAATTTGATCTTTGATATCAAGGATTTTTATTTCATTCTGGCGTTTCTTTATTGATGATATAGAAGCAAGAATCCTAGAAAAAGATCATACAAAGGTTTTCAAAGAATGAGACGACCTGAAATTATATAAATATGACGATACCAAGTTTAAAACAGGCATTCTGCCTTAAATAAAGTATTTTAATGGGTTATTTGATGATTTGGCAAAGAAAGAAACAAGTTTACAGTTGAAGAGAATTACAAATATAAAGACCACAAAGAGTATAAATTCAATACAGTACCATCTTTTGGGGGTAACTCTGTGTATTTCTTGAGACCGAATTTTATAGATAACGAGAAGTTGTTGTACTAGGTTAAACTATTTCAACTTCTTCTCTAGATAACACTAGGAAAGTAGGTTGAATTACTTCTCTATATTCCTTAATTTTGATCTCATCTTAATTATAGTATCTACGTCCAGAGGCCGAATTTAAAGAATTTGAGCCGCGGTTTAAATTTAAGCCGCGGCTTAATTATGGTAGGTTTCACTTAAAATTGTATCAAATGTTTAAAGATTTAAGCCGGCACTCATTTTAAACCGGGTTTTGGCGGATTTAAGCGGCGACTTAAATTCTCTTAATTCGGTCTCAGGTCTATTTTTCATTAAACGACGGCATTTTTTATTTCTATTTGTCTCACATGGATTTGTTTAATAAATCATCTCTACCCAATTGTCTAGTAGTTAGTAATATGAAACTAAGGGTTCTCTCAACCAATAATTGGTATAATATTGTACTCTCTCTAGGGTTTCCAGCGAACAAAAATTTTCGATCGTATTTCGAGAGAAAAAAAATCCAGCGATAATCATAATTTTCACATATGTCCCGCTGAAATTTTCTCGTTTGTTTCATTTTGCGAAATTTTCGCACTTTTTCCCGAAACAAAATAAAGCAAATGTTCGCGAAAAAGCGCAAATTTTTGCATTTTTCTCGAGTGAACGAAATTAGAAAAAAATTTCGGCGATTTCCCCTTTTCGCTGGAATCCCTACTCTTATCAGACGTCTCTTTAATTAAAGGGATTATTCTTAAAGGGAGAGACCGGTTAGATAACATATTTGAACCGAGAGTGCAGTATTATAGAGAGAAATTTTGGGATTCAATTGACATTTGAAGAATTTGTAGAAATCTGCAAAGTACAAACAAGTTTAAAAAAAATCATTATAATCATAAATTTCTCTGGAGAAAAATAACAAATTAGTTTATTGTAGAATTTTTGTTACATTTTTTACCCGGGTAATTAAATACTTTTTCATGTCCACAAAGACGATAGCTTATTTTGGTGGAGGGGGGGGGGAAGTCATTTTACCCCTCTCAGCCACTGGTTTTGGGCCTCACATCGGAACTAAAGTGCGCTGGAAAGATATACTTTCAAAATATTAAGAGCAAGTTTGCCCAGTAATTATTTAATTCTTTTTTTAACTTTTTTCCTGAATTTGAATTTGTTTTAATATTTATGACCATATAGTGTCTGGAAATGCTGACCTTATTGTCAATCCTTATAATAAAAAAATTAACAGATACAAATTCTTATCTAATGCAACATTAGGAAACTAATGCCGTCTACAAAATACATCATGACACAGTTTCATAATCTTAATTCTAACAGTTCTCCTTGCTTAGTTATCATAGAAATATATCATTTAGGAGAAAACAGCAGAATAAAGAATAATGAATTTACTTTTTTCTCTTGCTTATAATTGGCTGAAAAGTCAATCAAAAACTAAATCTATTTCATTTTTAATAATTCTTAAATCTATGAGTTTCATATTTTTATAAAGGACTTACTTACGGTCCATTCCCAAAGCTGTTAAGAATAATAAACCATTACAAATTTTCAAAGATAAAGGCGAAACCTTTTTTTATTGGTTTAAGAATAAATCTCTTAGATTTTTTTTAGCGAAGGATCATTTTAGATAATGTCGATATGGAATACTCGTCCCGTAAACTTTTCAACATGTCACGCCTAGATTTTGATTTTCTCTAAAACTCATAATAATAATGATTGTTTTTAACAAAAATTACAACCTGGGAATAGTTTATCTTAAAGGAGGCATGGTTGCCCTACGGCTTTAGACTTGATCGGCAGATTTAGTACAGAAATATTTACGAGGGGTACAGAAACTTAACATTTTTTAATTAACTCACTATTATTGAAAATTGAATTACGTTGAAAATTGCTGTAAATATCTACAAACATTCAACAACAAAATTTGGATTGCAATCATTACTCACATCCTAGAAATCCAAGGAAGTACATTGACAGGATTTCGTTGTACAGTGGATTTTTAATTCAAATGAAGAGGAAGCTGAGAACGTTTTTCAAGAGCAATACATCAAAATTATGAGTATGTTTTATAATGGAAAAAAAATCTTTATTGCGACGACTTTAATACCAGTTTCAGTAAATTTGTAAATTAAAGTTTCAAAGCTTATCCTCCTTTCTATTTCTTGGCGTGTATGGTAGAGTACAAATGTCAAATTAAATATGAGATAATAGCGAGATGTCTGCGAAACTTTAGCAGACAGAAAGTTTTGCCAGACAACATTTTTTTGAAAATATGAACGTCGGTTATTTCCTTATCGAATCGCAAAAATTCTTATTTTTTCAAAAATATATAATAGAAATGCAGCTGTTTTGTAAAATAAAGCATTTATTAATTTTAAAACATCTAAAATGGAGATTTTGGCCCAAAATATAAAAAAAAATATATATATCATTTGTACTTACACCCCAAATTAAAAGTTTTATTTAAAATACAACTACAGTTAAGAAGATAAAAATTACAAAAAGTGTTCAGGCCAAAGAGCAACCTACTCTTTTTGTGCTTTTTTGGATAAAAGTTTGGCTATTGAGAACGTTTTCCATTCCAATATAAGAAAAGATGTTGTTGTATTGAATTTATCTAAAACTGTAAGACCCAAATTCATGGAATTGAATAAACCCAACTTTTTCTAGAATCTTAATAATGTTGAGGCAGATCGTCTTTGTTCTTGTTCTGGGTACAACTAGCGCCACCCATCCAGCGTTTGTGAAAACGTTGTCTGATCAGTGGGAAAATAAGGTTACTTTAAGGGTCAGACCGGCTTCGTAATGTAGGTGAACTGAGTATGCATACTCAGTTTCACTACCTTACATAGCCGGTCTGTCCATTTAATTATTATAAATTGTTCATAAAATTGAAATGTCGAGTAAGCATCGTTTTGGTTAGTTTTTGAAAACTTAATTCGTTTATAAACAATTTGCATTTATTAAAATTAAAAATGGAAAAGAAGGGAAAAAAATGTTCGTCTATGGTTCGGTTTAGGTTCGTGTATGGTTTGTTCTATATTGTAATATTGTACCAGAGTCCAAATTTAATGAATTTGAGCCGCGTCTCAAATTCGCCAAAAACCGGTTTCAATGCATCGCCTGCTTAACTCTTGAAACATTAAATTTATTTGTAAGTGGAACTAACCATATTTTAGCCGCATCTCAAATTTAAGCCGCGGCTCAAATAAAGCGTCGATTAATAAACTCTGGTTAAGAACACAAATACGAGTACAACATGATAAAAACTGTTTGAATGAGATATTTCCTCCAGACTGTATGGATATCCGCTAAAATATATCCATAAAACAAATCTGTCAGTTTAAAAAAGTTGTAAGGCCGAATTTAAAGAATTTGAGCTGCAGTTTATATTTAAGACACGGCTCAAATATGGTTGGTTCCACTTAAAATTGTATTCAATGTTTCAAGATCTAAGCCGGTGCTCAATTGAAGCCAGTTTTTGGTGTATTTGAGACTCGGCTCAAATTCATCAAATTCGGACTCTGTATTCATAAATGTGTATATTTATGTATATTATATTAGCTAAATGGATCTGTGGGATGTATCTAATGCTTTATAAGTAAATAGATAAGTTCTGTAAGTAAAAACTATATCTTGTTGCAAGATTAGGTTTTCTAGTATAAACTTCTTCATACATTGAAAATATATTAAAAAGTTTGAAGATATTAGGAAGTAAGATGAAAACATCCTGTATGCTTAAAGGAACCTTTTAAGAACCAGCTTTTTATTAAACATTTGATTGGATACATTATGCCTACAACAGAAATTTGGCACTTTATGGCACTCAAAATAGTTTTACTCTACAATCTTTTGATATTTTCACCATAACTTTTTTTTGCTAGAAATCGTGACTTTTTTCAAGATAAAAATTATTGAAATGGATTGGATGTATTGCGTAAATCGAATTATTGAAATTGATTGGATGTATTGCGTAAATCGAATTATTGAAATTGATTGGATGTATTGGGTAAATCGAATTATTGAAATTGATTGGATGTATTGCGTAAATCGAATTCAAGTATGGATCAAAACAAATTAGAAAAGAAAAGTGTGCGTACGATCACAAAACAAAAATAAACAAAAAGTAAAGTGTGAAAAGTAGTTTGTTTATATTTAGACTTTTTTCAGACATACTTTCTTTCTCGTGTTTTTCTTAGATGGATTCTATAAAATTAATTCAATAGCTTCTTTTTTTGAAAAGTTGCATGCCCGCGAGCTACAGTACAACGGTATACCCTTACACGCACCTCTGCCCCTTTAGTAAAAGTAAATTTAACATATATGACGGATAAAGTCTGAACGCGTCAATATTGTTGCACCGGCTAGTCCTGTTGATTGTCTGCTATATTAACCCAATGTCCTTGCGGTACAGTACAAACTGGGACCTGAAAGGTTGACCCGTCTCGGAAATTAAAATGTAATACGGCCTGTACTTAAATCCTTTGTCTAACATAATTGAGTTTTCCTCATTTTTCTCTCTAAAAACTAATAAATTTTAATTGTGGTATTCAGGCACAAGTGACAACGTAGGAATAGACGATATCCTCTTAAAGTATTAATTTTATATCAGGCTGATCCAGGTATATGCATAGCTCTGCACTGTGCCCTACAGTCTGGTGCATGTGTTCTGGACCCACAGTGCTTTGAAACTTTACAGGTCATATTAACACAAAATAAACTGGGTCAGTCAAAAAACATTATAGAAGCCATTAAAGTATTTTATGGTAAAGCGTCTCAGGTTATATAATTCTATTTATATAGTGTATGATCGGCTGTAGCGGTAAGCCAGATGAATCTCAATGTCAGTTTGAATGTGAGATGACACTTGGAAATGGAAACGAAGTTTTCGAAGATCTTCTCCGGGTAAATATACAGTATTTTTATATACAGTGAGACTAGATAAAAAATGTGAATAAGGAAGACGACTGTTAGACTAGAGTTATTCGAAAAATATAAAACACAGCATTTGTGCAGTAAAACATTGGTAAAACAACATCACATGCGGATACAAATGTTTTAATGTTCCTTTTTTACATTTTTACAGGATGAATTTTGAATCTTTTTTTGTTTTCATATAACAGTAATCGGGCAATATTTTACTGGTCTATATAGAAGAGTGTCCCAAAATAACAATTAACTTACTGCTAACTAGAGATTTGCACTACTAGCTAGAGATTTGCACTACTAGCTAGGGATTAGCACATACTAGCTAGGGATTTGCACAACTAGATAGGGATTGGCACAACTAGCTAGGGATTTGCACTACTAGCTAGAGATTTGCACTTCTAGCTAGGGATTGACACAACTAGCTAGGGATTTGCACTACTAGCTAGAGATTTGCACTAACAGCTAGGGATTGGCACAACTAGCTAGGGATTTGCACTACTAGGTAGAGATTTGCACTACTAGCTAGGGATTGGCACAACTAGCTAGGAATTGGCACTACTAGCTAGAGATTTCCACAGCTAGATAGGGATTGGCACAACTAGCTAGAGATTTGCACTACTAGCTATGGATTGGCACTACTAGCTAGAGATTTCCACAACTAGATAGGGATTGGCACTACTTGCTAGAGATTTCCACAACTAGATAGGGATTGGCACAACTAGCTAGGGATTGGCACAACTAGCTAGGGATTTGCACTACTTGCTATGGATTGGCACTACTAGCTAGAGATTTCCACAACTAGATAGGTATTGGCACAACTAGCTAGAGATTTGCACTACTAGCTATGGATTGGCACTACTAGCTAGAGATTTCCACAACTAGATAGGGATTGGCACAACTAGCTAGAGATTTCCACAACTAGATAGGGATTGGCACTACTAGCTAGGGATTGGCACAACTAGATAGGGATTGGCACAAATAGATAGGGATTGGCACAACTAGCTAGGGATTTGCACAACTATCTAGGGATTGGCACTACTAGCTAGGGGTTGGCACTACTAGCTAGAGAAAGGCATATTTTTTTGAACGAATGAAATTTTTGAGAACGGACAACCTTTTTTAGTGAAAAAGGGTGTCGTTAGAAAAAAAAACTTATGAAAATAAAAATTAAAAAATTATAATATGAGCAAACCTGAGATTCTCTGGCTCCTGTGGGATGAAATCGTTTTCAGATTGGTTGCGTATTTGCTGAATGTGATCTGTTTAAACCTACTACTTTTATACAAAACTGAATATATATGAATTTTTGTATCATTTTTACACAGAATTTTATATCAATTTCTCGAGACAGGAACATCAGATAGATGTCTTAAATGTATCGTTCAACGCATGAGATTCTCAGGTTTCATTCTATACCCCCTTTCATTTTTCCTTTACAGTCCTTTTAAAACGTTTTATATGTCTCAAAGGAATCTTACACATTTTTTCAACAATTCTACCTTCTCAGTTTAACTACCATACATTGTCGGTCACTCCCTTTAAATATAAAACAGCTTGTCAACAATTACAAATGTTTCTCAGAAATAAGAAAAAGTCAGTCATTCTTTATCAGTCCAAGATTTAAAGGGTACCGTTGTGAATCGGGGGATGTCCCTTTTTAAACAGAAAAGGCTACTTGAAATAACGCTTACAGTCCCTTTAAGAGCAGAAATGTAGTATTTGCTTTTAAGAAAAATAACAATTTCAAGATTGCAGACATTTGTTATATAAGACAGATAGTATCTTCAGTCAGTACCCGTCCTTACATTTCATTTCTGCAACAAATATATACAAAACAAGAATGTGAAGAAAAAAATCCGAATTGTTTTTAAATAAACATTAGTATTTTCTCCTTTCATCTCTGTTTGTTTTATTTGTTCGATCATAATTCAGGAACCCCTCCACCGAATTGCCTAGATCAGGGAACTCGTTAGCACAATTCTTCTAAGTTTTAGGGTTTCATTTTAGACAAAGCTTAGTTTCCAATCAAAGCTGGGTTCCCAAACTAGTTTATTACAAAACGTAAATCGTTATATTTGGTTGTTGCACAGTTTGGTTGGTGCACAGTTTGGTTGGTGCACAGTTTGGTTGGTGCACAGTTTGGTTGGTGCACAGTTTGGTTGGTACACAGTTTGGTGGGTGCACAGTTTGGTTGGTGCACAGTTTAGTTGGTGCACAGTTTGGTTGGTGCACAGTTTTGGTTGGTGCACAGTTTGGTTGGTGCGCAGTTTAGTTAATGCACAGTTTGGTTGGTTCACAGTTTAGTTGGTGTACAGTTTTGAAACAGAGAAACATGAATATATAAAATCATACTTGAACAGAATAAGGTTTTAAGATTGCCGGTGTAAATCAGGCATTCCACTCCGTTGAAGGTCATTAAACTTCCTTTAAAGGAATTTGTTTCTATTTCTGTCACGTTAAAATGGACTGTTTTTTCTCAAGCGTTCAAAAGAAATTAATTTTATTTGTTCTCAAAATTATTGTTCATTTTCCGTCTATCCGTCTATAACATCGTTCTAATTCTTTAAAAATTATATTTTAGAAAAAAATTTCGTTCTCTATAAAGTTTCTTACAAGAATCATCCTTTCAGTAAAAAGCAATCGTTTTTTCCAAATCTTTGGAATTTTTCTTTATTTGGTCAAATAAAAATCGTTTCTTTTCATGATGGTTTGAGCGATTTTCATTCGTAATCGTACAACAAGCGACTCTTAGTTTTTTTCTCTCAATTTTTAAAATGAATGGTCCAAAATATTAAAATAATGATTATTTTTAAGTTTTTATAATCTGAATAGGTTCTGTTTAAAGCAATGATGTTAGTTTTAATAATTCAGGTTAGAATGAAAATTAAAACCATTGACTGTTTTAACATGAGTTTCAAATAACTGATGATTCTTTATTTAGTAAATGATGAAAGAAAAATTTCTTAATTTTTAGAAAAATAATTCTTAAGTCATTGTTACAAGAACAAAAACTCCATTGACTATATTAAAAGTTTTAAAATTTAAAGAGATATTTAAAATCACAAAAAAACGTAAAATACGCAGGTCGGCTTTTGGTAGAACAGATTTAACTCGATATCCATAGTTAAAACTTTTAATTTACATAAACTGGACGCGTAATTTCAAAAGTTTTAAAAGTGGGACATGCCAGAAATGGGCCTCGCTATTTAGAACCAAATCGAATTTTTGAGAACGAACGAATTTTTTTGTGGAAAAGGGTGTCGTTCAGAAAACAAACGAACGATGAACGAACGAAAAAAATATCGTTCAGAGAAATGAAAAAATGATCGTTTTTTAAAAACGAACAAAAAAACACAAAAATTAACGGTCTTTAGTGTATGATTATCTGTTTAATGTATAATTATCTGTTTATTGTATGATTATTTGCTGAGTGTATGATTATCTGTTTAGTGTATGATTATCTGTTAAGTGTATTATGATCTGTTTTGTGCAAGACTATCTGTTCAGTGTATGCTTATCTGTTTAATGTATGATTATCTGTTTAATGTATGATTATCTGTTTAGTGTATGATTATCAGTTTAGTGTATGATTATCTGTTTAGTGTCTGATTATCTGTTTAGTGTATTATCATCTGTTTAGTGTATAATTATCTGTTTAGTGAATGATTATCTGTTTAATGTTTATGATTATCTGTTTAATGTATGATTATCTGTTTAGTGTATGATTATCTGTTTAATGTATGATTATCTGTTTAGTGTATGATTATCTGTTTAATGTATGATTATCTGTTTAATGTATGATTATCTGTTTAGTGTATGGCTGCTAATGGCTGTTTCCCTGAAGTCCCTCCTGATGGAATATGCCTAGCAAGTAAGTTTATATTTAATGTTTAAAACCTTATTTTTCTTGTAGCCCTCGCATACTTATATAAAAAAACAATGATAAGAAAAGTGTAATTAGACAGTTTGTTGTGAAGGTTGTTTTTTGTAAATATCTTTCAATCAAAAACTGTTCTGAAAAACAAGAATTGATGGAGAAAAAAACAAAGGGATACAGGGTGTCCTAGTAAACATGGAGATCGAGTGAAGACGGACAAGTTTACTCTGTTTTTATACAGAAACCTTCATTTTTCACTGAGGAAAACAAAATCCAATCAAAACATAAACAAGCAAATTGTAAACACTGAAACCTACAGATTTCTCTGAAGGTCAATACGATATATACTAGACCAAAAATAATTTCAAAAAGACCATGTTAAACTCGTCACTCAAGATCCTAAACTCGTCACTCAAGATCCTAAACTCTTCACCCAAGATCTTAAACTCGTTACTCAAGATCCTTAACTCGTCACTCAAGATCCTAAACTCTTCACTCAAGATCTTAAACTCGTCACTCAAGATTCTAAATTCTTCACCCAAGATCTTAAACTCGTCACTCAAGATATTAAACTCGTCACTCAAGATCCTAAACTCTTCACCCAAGATCTTAAACTCGTTACTCAAGGTCTTAAACTCGTCACTCAAGATCTTAAACTTGTCACTCAAGCTCTTAAACTCGTCACTCAAGATCCTAAACTCTTCACCCAATATCTTAAACTCGTTACTCAAGGTCTTAAACTCGTCACTCAAGATCTTAAACTCGTCACTCAAGATCTTAAACTCGTCACTCAAGATTCTAAACTCTTCACCCAAGATCTTAAACTCGTTACTCAAGGTCTTAAACTCGTCACTCAAGATCTTAAACTCGTCACTCAAGCTCTTAAACTTGTCATTCAAGATCCTAAACTCTTCACCCAAGATCTTAAACTGGTTACTCAAGGTCTTAAAATCGTCACTCAAGATCTTAAACTCGACACTCAAGATCTTAACTTGTCACTCAAGATCTTAAACTCGTCACTCAAGCTCTTAAACTCGTCACTCAAGATCTTAAACTCGTCACTCTAGATCTGAAACTCGTCACTCAAGATCTTAAACTATACACTCAAGATCTTAAACTCATCACTCATTATCTTAATCTCGTCACTCAAGATCTTAAATTCGTCACGCAAGATCTTAAACTCATCACTCAAGATCTTAAACTCGTCACTCAAGATCTTAAATTCGTCACTCAAGATATTAAACTCATCACTCAAGATCTTTAACTCGTCACTCAAGATCTTAAATTCGTTACTCAAGATATTAAACTTGTCACTCAAGATATTAAACTCGTCACTCAAGATCTTAAACTCGTCACTCAAGTCCTATGTTTTAAAAAAACCTATTGACAAGCTATACATAGAATAAATTTGGTTTCAGTTATAGTTTATCGTTCATATGTGACATTAAATTTCCATGGGTTTTAATTGTTGAATAACAATAACGTTGTGACAGAGTAAACAAAGATCGTTCGCAAATCACGCGATATCTCGTCTGCGCTTTTTTCTGTTTGTTTGTAGAGTAAGAAAATAATAGATCACTGTGAAATGTTCGATTAGGATTAAGAGCTCTTGCATTTAATCCTAACACTACTATGTACAATATTGGTTTTACAAGTTCTCGTTCAACATATAAAATATAAATAAACTTTTCATTAGCAACATATTTTACTTCTGCAACATATTTTACTTCTGAAGTATATTTTACTTCTGCAATATATTCAACTTCTGCAACATATTCAACTTATGCAACATATTTTACTTATGCAACATATTTTACTTCTGCAACATATTTTACTTCTGCAACATATTTTACTTCTGCAACATATTTAACTTATGAAACATATTAAACTTCTGCAATATATTCTACTTCTGCAACATATTATACTTCTGCAACATATTTTACCTCTGCAACATATTTTACTTCTGCAACATATTTTACTTCTGCAACATATCTTACTTCTGCAACATATTTTACTTCTGCAACATGTTTTACTTCTGCAACATATTTTACTTCTGTAACATATTTTAATTCTGCAACATATTTAACTTATGCAACATATTTAACTTCTGCAATATATTCTACTTCTGCAACATATTATACTTCTGCAACATATTTTACTTCTGCAATATATTCAACTTCTGCAACATATTCAACTTCTGCAACAAATTCTACTTCTGCAACATATTCAACTTCTGCAACATATTCTACTTATGCAACATATTTTACTTATGCAACATATTTTACTTCTGCAACATATTTTACTTCTGCAATATATTCAACTTCTGCAACATATTTTACTTCTGCAATATATTCAACTTCTGCAACATATTCAACTTCTGCAACATATTCAACTTCTGCAACATATTCAACTTCTGCAACATATTCAACTTCTGCAACATATTCTACTTCTGCAACATATTCAACTTCTGCAACATATTTTACTTCTGCAACATATTCAACTTCTGCAACATATTCAAATTCTGCAACATATTCAATTTCTGCAACATATTTTACTTCTGCAACATATTTTACTTCTGCAACATATTCTACTTCTGCAACATATTCAACTTCTGCAACATATTTTACTTCTGCAACATATTCAACTTCTGCAACATATTCAAATTCTGCAACATATTCAATTTCTGCAACATATTTTACTTCTGCAACATATTCAATTTCTGCAATATATTCAACTTCTGCAACATATTCTACTTATGCAACATATTTGCTTGCGACAGAATCATGTTAAAGCTTATTTTACAGAGACTCTCAAATAATGTCTCTGACCAGGACTGTACTACAGTGTGTCTTACATCATATTAGATCGTCAATGGGACTAAATTAAGATTTTCGAGACTAATCAGAAAAGTTAAGAAGTTTGAATCATTTTGAAAAATTTTGAATAATGCTAACATAAAAGTTTTCTTGGAAAAAATGTTAGGTTTTTTTAAAGTATTAAGCGTTTATTGTAGCGTTAAAGCTTGGAGATAAACTAATATGATATGAGACGCTCTGTATATTCAAAAGTCAGTTTTTTTTATCTCGGACTTGACTTGAGACCCATTTTAAAAGTTTTTTTTTTTGGGGGGGCACATTTTAACACATTTTTAATTTTCATCTGTTAAGGTGAATCTGACACTGTACAAGAAATCACAGATATAGAGATGGTGGCCGGCAGCTGGTGGGTTGTTAGAGGGGTCAACTGTGCTCAAGATGATGTCTGGCTTGGGGGATATGATTGGTAATACCAACGATAATATATATATAGATATGCAGACAGGTATAAATTTAGAGGTCTTGAGATAATGAGCACAAAGCACCATCTCTGTCGTACGCATGGCATTTTATCCTCTGGATTGTTGCTAATTTATCACTTTGTTTATGCGTGATAACACTAAATGCGTACTATAGTATCAACAATGTATACTGCATATTGTACTTAATGAAACAAATTAATCAATGCAAATAAAACTGAGGTAGGAATTTGACTAGACAGAGTTTAAATGTGCAAGTTGTACTGAATGGCATACGTAAATTAACGCAATTTAAATAAAAATTATGACTATAAAAGTACATCGAGTCTAGGACAAATTACAACTGATCTGATCATAACATAAACAAAACGCGTACTGTATGTTTGTGTTACCTTGAAATTTAATTTTATTGGTCAAACAGGTCCAGATAGCAACACTTGAACTATACAGGATGCAATACGCGTACTGTATGTTTATATAACACAAATGCGTATTTCCTACAGATAGCAGAAAGGGGAGAAAGGCATATAGAAAGTAATCAATTTGCTATAGATGTCTCTTTGTGCACATTTTTTCAGAGGTTCAAAAATTAGTTGTCTGCTACAGGCAATTTAGGAAGGAGGTTTCTACCTGCCTGCATATCTATATATATATTATCGTTGGGTAATACAGAGAGTATAGTTTATATATGGTGTAATGTTTATAATGATATATTGAATGCAGGTAGTAAAGTGAATGATGTAATGTACGCTCAATACAGTATACTGTATGAACTGTATAAAGGTTGTATACTGTAAAATGTATTGTTTACTGGGGGTAAACACTCTATAAAGTATATTGTATACACTGATACTGTATACTGTATATTGGGGTATACGCTCATTACAGTATACTCTATATACTGATACTGTATATAGTATAATAAATTGTATACTGGGGGTAATCACTCTATACAGAATACTGTATATACTGATACTGTATACAGTATACTGGGGTATACGATCATTACAGTACATTGTATACGCTCAATGCATTATTCAGTATACAGGTTGTATACTGTATAATGTATTGTATACTGGAGGTAAACACTATACAACAGTATGCTGTATATACTGATACTGTATAATGTTTCTATGCTGGGGATGAACGCTAAATACAGTATACTGTATACAGATTGTATACTGTATAATGTATTCTATACTGGGGGTGAACGCTCAATACAGTATATTGTATACAGATTGTATGCTGTATAATGTATTCTATATACTGGGGGTAAACACTCTATACAGTATATTGTATACAGGTTGTATACTGTATAATGTATTCTGTAATGGGGGTAAACGCGCAATACAGTTGTTGTCGCAAAGGAACAAGATTCTGACGATGAACAGATAGACAAGGTATAATCCACTAATCAAAATCGATAATGCAGAAAACTCTTTATTTCCTAAAAAAAATAACGAAATGAATAATGATGAATAATTATTACAGGGTTTACAAATTTATAATGAAAAGATTCTTACGATCTATTTTTCTATTCGGGGGGTTATCTGTCGAAAGTCCGAAGACGCTTTTTATACATTAAAACTTCTGAAAAGATTAACAATTAAATGTTGATGAAAGTCACTAATTCTTTAAATAGAAATGTTTTTTTTTTAACTTTGAAATGGTTCACAATTGATGAACGTTTTTTTACTCCGTTATTGGAGAACAAAGAAGAAAAGCGGGCTGAAATTGTTTGGTTTGGATTCTTGTCTCCGAGAGGAGCATTTAAGTTGAAGACGACATTACATAAACTGGGGAGGGGGGGGGGGTCTTAATGTTAATGGTTGACAACAGTATACTGTATACAGATTGTATACTGTATAATGTATTCTATATATACTGGGGGTGAACGCTCAATACAGTATATTGTATACAGATTGAATGCTGTATAATGTATTCTATACTGGGGTAAATGATCAATACAGTATATTGTATAGAGATCGGGTGCTGTATAATGTATTCTATACTGGGGGTAAACGCTCAATACAGTATACTGTATACAGATTGTATACTGTATAATGTATTGTATACTAGGGGTTAACGCTCAATACAGTATATTGTATACAGATTGTATACGGTATAATGTATTCTATACTGGGGTAAACGCTCAATACAGTATACTGTATACAGATTGTATACTGTATAATGTATTTTATATGTTATAGTGTATTTTCAATATATTTTAAAAGTGAAAATATTGTATTTGTAGGTACCCCTGTCAACATGAAAGATATTTGAGGTAAACCTTTTACATAATTAGACATTATTCACATTTTACAAAAGTTAAAACGATTTTATTTCACATAATTAGAAATGATTTACATTTTAAATGATTTACTTTTTATATAATTTGAAATTATTCACATTTTACTAAGGTTCGACACGATTTACTTTTTACATAATTAGCAATGATTTACATTTTACAAAAGTTAGAAATGATTTACTTTTATATAATTTGAAATTATTAAAATTTAAAAAAAAGTTAGAAATGATTTCCTTTTTATATAATTTGAGATTATTCACATTTTACAAAAGTTAGACACGATTTACATTTTACATAATTAGCAATGATTCACATTTTACAAAAGTTAGAAAGGATTTACTTTTCATAAAATTTGAAATTAATCACATTTCACAAAAATTAGATACGATTTACATTTTACATAATTAGCAATGATCCACATTTACAAAATTAGAAATGATTTACACCGACACAATAGTAAAAACTCTTTTCTCAATTATTTGTTCGTTATAGCTGGCCAAACGGATGAACCAAATGGCTGAATTTTGTTGAGGGATCCCATGAGTACAAAAGCTTAAAACTATGGATTTTATTTGAATTGCTAAAATCACGATTTAAGACCAAGCAAGGGAAAACTGCGGAAGTAACTTTGAGTAACCTTACATAATTATAAATAATTTAAATCAAATATTTTTATATTGTTTCATTGAAGGTTAGGGGATGGTTGGATTAATAATACTACCTATACAGGGGGCTCGGATTCTATACCTACTACAGGTTAATATGCTGTACATTAAGTGCATACAACAGGTTTATATTCTGTACATATTATTTACAGCAGATTAATATTCTGTACATAGTACGGTGGTAGGCGATTATATCAATATAATGAAGACGACTTTCAATTTTTTATCAAGCTTTTTATCACACAAAAAACAGGTTAATATTCTGTACATACAGCCAATCTCACAAACAGGGTGTCCCACGAAACATGACATTTAACAAATAGTTATTTTCAGTTTAACAAATCTTTTGCATAATTATATTTTACTTTGAAATCAATTTTAATATAAAATGACTCCCATATTATATTTTTATGATCTTTTGTATCAAACAACTGAACAAATAATGAAAAAAGACATTCTAAACTATTCACCAACTGTCATGTTTCGTGGGACACCCTGTATAAGAATGCATGGCAAGATCGCATGAAATGTCGTCTTAATTTTTTTTTGAAATAACTTAATCATTGGTCTCCACAAAAAGAAAACTGCCGAGATTTTCGCGTAGCTTCAAAGAGTTGAATGCGATTTATAAAAATATTTCCAAATATCGTTGTAAAGTCAAAGGTTTTTTGATACGTTTTAAGAAACTGATTTTTATTTTTGATTCAAGGAAAATTAATAACCCTGAAATATGCAGGATAGCAATTGATAAACTGGACTCGTTTTCCGCGGCATTTGATCTTAAATATGTTGAAAATACGGCATTATAAAAAACTATACTTCATGCTACGAATCTAGATGTTCTTGTAACTATACCTCATTTTAACTAATCTAGATGTTCTTGTAAGTACACCTCATGCTACGAATCTAGATGTTCTTGTAAATATACTTCATGCTAATTATCTATATGTTCTTGTAATTATACTTCGTGCTACTTATCTATATAGTCTTGTAATTATACTTCATGCTACTTATCTATATATTCTTGTAACTATACTTCATGCTACTTATCTATATATTCTTGTAACTATACTTCATGCTACTTATCTATATATTCTTGTAATTATACTTCATGCTAGTTATCTATATATTCTTGTAATTATACTTCATGCTACTAATCTATTTATTCTTGTAACTATACTTCATGCTACTTATCTATATATTCTTGAAATTATANGTTACTAATCTATATGTTCTTGTAACTATACCTCATTGTAACTAATCTATATGTTCTTGTAACTATACCTCATTGTAACTAATCTATATGTTCTTGTAACTATACCTCATTGTAACTAATCTATATGTTCTTGTAACTATACCTCATGCTACTAATCTAGATGTTCTTGTAACTATACCTCATTGTAAGTGTAACTAATCTATATGTTCTTGTAACTATACCTCATTGTAACTAATCTATATGTTCTTGTAACTATACCTCATGCTACTAATCTAGATGTTTTTGTAACTATACCTCATACTACTAATCTAGATGTTCTTGTAACCATACCTCATGCTACTATGCCCTCCCCTGGTCTAATCAGACTGGAATATGATGACGAACCCCTCCTCCCTCAGGTTTTTGATTATAATTGATATTTCACTTTAAGAAAAAAAAGTAAAAATCCTAATTTACGACCAAGCACGGGTAAGTCGCGGGAGTAATTATGGATACCCTGGGCAACGCTGGGTTTTCAAGCTAATATAATACATAGATTGAGAGATGGCATATAGTGTCTAAGCCTAGTGATGACTATATGATGGTATTCTGGTGTGGAACTAACCCAGCTTTGGATTACAATGGAGGATTTGTACTTTCAAGGTACTGGTTCTTGTTCTTATCTATACAACCAGAAATAGAGTTGTTAATCGTTTTTGAAAACTATCGTGAAACGAAAGGTCGTCGTTAACGATCGTTAACGAAAAGCTGTCGTTAGCTATCGTTAACGAAACGACAAACTTTATAAAAACGATCGTTTTTGGAAAAAAAATTACATGCAATTTTATTAAATGTCATCTTACATGAAGTTAAACAGTTGTGGGGGATCTAAAAACTTCTTGATATTTTCTTAAAAACTACTCAATGATAAGTACAGATGCCCTTCAGCGTCGGTTTCCTCTCTTCGTTAACGATCGTTAACGAATGGTCGTCGTTAGCGATCGGTAACGAAACGAAGAGTTTTATAAAAACGAACTTTTTAAAAAATCGATCGTTTTCAAAAACGATCGTTTTGTTTTGACTTTTCGTCGTCTTTTTCATAACGAAACGATCGTTTTTCAAAAATGAAAACGTTATATTCTTGTAACTATTGGGCATCGGTTTGAAGTTCGTTCTCAATCATTCAAAGTGTTTAGACTTTTTAGAGGCCCAATGCAAATCTGAGTTCTGTAATATTAATGCATGTCCTATTTCAAATTGACGTGATTGACAAGTTTAATTTTATTACATAGGCTAAATTCTTATACTATCCAAAGATTTTAACCATGTGATTTTTAAAACGAAAAGTTTGATCGTTTTGATAAGAGGTTTTGATAAATGGTTTTGATAAATGGTTTTGATAAATGGTTTTTTGAATAGTTTTGATAAATGGTTTTGATAAATGGTTTTGATTAATGGTTTTGAAAAATAGTTTTGATAAATGGTTTTCATTAATGGTTTTGAAAAATAGTTTTGATAAATAATTTTGATAAATGGTTTTGATAATTGGTTTTTTAAATAGTTTTGATAAATAGTTTTGATGCATGGTTTTGATAAATGGTTTTGATAATTGGTTTTGATAATTGGTTTTAAAAAATGGTTTTGAAAAATGGTTTTGATAAATGGTTTAGATAAATGGGTTTGAAAAATGGTTTAGATAAATGGTTTCGATCAATGGTTTTGATAAATGGTTTTGAAAAATGGTGTTGAAAAATGGTTTTGATAAATGGTTTAGATAAATGGTTTTGAAAAATGGTTTAGATAAATGGTTTAGATCAATGATTTTGATAAATGGTTTTGATAAATGGTTTTGATAAATGGTTTTGAAAAATGGTGTTGAAAAATGGTTTTGATAAATGGTTTAGATAAATGGTTTTGAAAAATGGTTTAGATAAATGGTTTAGATCAATGATTTTGATAAATGGTTTTGATAAATGGTTTAGATAAATGGTTTAGATCAATGGTTTTGATAAATGGTTTTGATGCATGGATTTGATAAATGGTTTTGATAAATGGTTTTGATAGATGGTTTTGATAAAAGGTTTTGATAAATGGTTTTGATAATTGGTTTTTTAAATAGTTTAATAAATGGTTTTGATAAATGGTTGTTGTGAGTTATGAGTTTAAACTTAACAGCTTTTTCCGTTTGTAAAATTTTGATAATTTTTGTATATGATTTTTTCAAAATTTTTTGGCTTTATCAAGCTGAGACAATGAAGAAAAATGTCATAATTACACGAACAACAGATAACAACAATATCCGTTGGCATCCTTTAAGGGTTACCCTGTAGGCTGTATGCGTATTCCTTTATAGTCTGATTATTTATCATTTAACCCTATCTCCGCTGGGGTACTTGAAAACCAGGATACGCTGGGGGGGGGGTCAATTTGACCCCCCCCTCTAAATCCCATGTTTTATGTCCAAATATGAAAAATGATGCATCATTAGAAAGCTCTTGTGCTCTACTTTTAGAATCTGCAAAAAAATTTGCAAATTTGTTCAGACCAATACTTTTTGAGTTATGTAAAAAAAACTACAGGGGGGGGTCAAATTGACCCCCCCCCAGCGGGAATAGGGTTAATAATCTGAAGAATTAATCTTATTTTTATACTCCTAGGACCAGAACTCAGAATGAAATGCCGTCAGAGGTAACTAAAGAATCTTATGTTTAAAACTAAAACTCTCATTTTTTATTTTCAAACTCAAGTTCCAACCAAGTTCTTTTTGCAAACTTTAATAACTATTTATAGCAATATTACTTTAGTTGGCAGTGTTATAAAATTTATGTTCTCTTTATCGAAAAGGTCCAAGCCTTTTTAGTCAAAATATAGATTAAACTAGGCTTTAAGGGAGCTTTGCGCCCATCTTCTATTTCAATTGTAAACATGTTACATCGTAAAACAAAAACATAGTGAGGTTTTTTATTTCACATTTTGTAGATTTGAACAATGCTATGTTTTAAAATGAAAAATAGTAGTTTACAGTAAATCATCCTCTTATTGAATCAGTGTATTTCAATAATTTAGGATTTTATAAAAAATTTAACAAAAATTGTGCAAACGTGATCTTTAATCCTTCGTATCACAGTTGGGGACCTAAACTTAGTGAACAAATAGAATTTTGTTAAAGGCAAATTTTTAAAGATTTAAAATTAGATCATGTATAAACCTTCCCTGGGGTCACGCGAGGTCCCACAAAAAAATTGGGCCTAATCTGTTCAGAAGTTTTGCCATTTGCAAACATACATACAGACACCCACAAGCAAAGTATATATATAGAAAGCGAGGACCTTCGAGATAAAGAGAAAAATGTTGACCAAAAACTTTGTAGCACGTCGCGTCGTGCCAAAATAATAGTGTTATTGGTAATTTTATGAAACGTTTGTGCACTTGTCTTATTGCAATGGCTATTTCTAGATAAATTAAGCTTTTAAAATTCTCGGAAATTATAAATATAAAGTGAAGTAATCAATAGTTTCATAAAACACTTTTTGATGTTTCGAGTTCACAATCATAGAAATCTCACAATTTCAATTTTTCATCTTTATTTTTCATTTAATAAACTCTTTTCTCTTTTCTTTATCGCCCTTGCAAGAAAAATTTCAGCTAAATTGCAAAAAAATGAATAATTTTTTGTTCTCGAATAAATTTAAACCTGTTCTAGGAAAAATAAAGAACTCAATCTTAATTTGAATTTTTGTCATTTCTTGAAGTCAACAACATGTTGTCAACAAGAAAATTCTGAAAGTTTCTTTAGTTTTAATTCTGTTCAAAGTTGCTGACAACATTTTTATTCTAATCTAGTGCCACTGTAGTCCACGCGAGCATATTTTGGAAGCTTCATTATTTTAGATTCACTTTTTAAACCTTAGAGATTTTTTTCGTCGTCGTAGATTGAGGAGGAGTTTAGACGCGTAGCTGCGTCACTGGGTGTGGATTATGACGCAATGTGCGTCACAGACAACACGCTTTGTGAGGAGAATCCATAGAATCCATAAACTAATTGCTTTAATTAAAATGTTAGAAATAAAGTTCTATTTTTAATAATGATTCTTTGAATTAACATGATAAAATAACGCGTACCTCATTATTTGACCCTGTAGAATTAGTATAAATAAAAATAAAATTTGTGTGTTGAATACATAGATATACAAGAATATAGATAGCTCATGTCGTCTCCACCATATAGGGCCGGCCCAGCCTGTTAAGGGTTAAAAGCTAAAATAGTTTAGTAAACTTCTTTAAATAAATTTGTAAAAAAAATACTCTACAGATTGACCCCGAGAAGTAAAACGTATTCAATGACCTTTTTGAATGACGAGTTCATGATGAACAAGGTGTTGTACAATTTTCAGCTTTACACAGTCTGCATTAGCGATCTATATTATTGTATATCTATGGTTGAATACTATAAACCTTCTTATGAATAAAATGTATGCGATCTAAAAAGAGACTGTCCTCGTAATTGCAATTGATCATCAATCTAATATTACTGTCGAAATCTACAAGTCTTTTTTATCGAGTACCGCAAGTAAAAATAATCAATTTTGAGAAAGGAAAACAAGGTATGAAAGGTACATATGTAGTGTTGTTTATAATTTTTTTGAGCGATCAAAAAGACGATAGCTTTTCGTGGGTCACAAAGAACGAACCATTCGTTTGGAACTTTTGAAAAACGAAACAAAGACGATTGTTTTCTATAAAAACGCTCGTTTTTGAAAACATTTTCGCGAAAAATATGAGATTTTGACATTTAATTTAATTTTGCTCACTAAGATTGCATTTATATATATCAATATTTAATAGTTTCAGTTAAAATAAACTCTTAAAATAAACGTTCTTAAATTAATTAAAAAAATAAAAAAGCTTTTTTTGTCCAAATTGTAAAGATACGGTTTAAAACTGTATGAATCGTTCGAGACATTTTTAAAATCTCAATGTTGGATATATTTCTTTTTCTCGCTTGTGGGTGTAAAAAGCATATTATCTTTTATTTTCTATGATAAAGAAAAAGCTTGGTTATTTTTAGAATTAATGGGTTTATTATTTCTCTGTCTGATGTCTCAGCTCAGATAAACAATTCCTATTTGTGTCATATTACTAGATATATTCTTCTCTTTATTTACGTCAAATTTTTCCATTTTTGGCTCGAAGCTCATTGTTAGATTAAAATCTATTATATTGTTCGAAATATCGAGGTCCAGGGTATCTCAATAAACATGGGAATTTAATGACGAATTCGAGATCGTCTTTGTTGATAATCAGCATTGTAATACCTGATTTTATAAGCCATAATAAAAGTTTTACGTGCATTGAAAAGGTTCGTGTCAATTGTTTCACAGGATTGATAAAAAAAAAGTTTATTTAAAATTCAGTGTTGATGATGGACCAATCCTTATTAAAGTAATTCAAGTAGATGTTAGTTCGACATTTTATAGAAAATACATTCGATCTGAGTTGACCCTTCTTAGTTTTTGAGATTGTTTTTGTCATCACTGCTGCAAATCAAGATGTGCACGCTCTCACACAAAAATCAAGCAGTATTCTGTCCGTTACTTTTTTTAAACTTAAGCTAGAAACAGAATGTATATGTCTAGGGCTACAAAAATGTATGATCGAGTTGGCGAGGTAAAACCAAATACCAAGCCGTTGCGACACTTCAAAGTCGATGCTGTATAAAATGTTACACATCATGTAACATGATATTTGTAAGCTACGTTGTACATAATTAATTATCTATGTTTGTAAACATCTACGTAATACCCATTTCTTGATTTATTTTAACTGTGCTGTAAATAAATATGTTAAAGCATGATTAGCTAAATCATGGGATATATAATGACGTACATATTGTAATTGCCCCGTCAGGACAAATGGAGGAAAATGTACGCTACCACGTGACGTGTGTATTTAGCTTAATCAACTGCACTGATTATTGTTATTATTAGGTGCAGTACGTGGAAAGGGATATGAAAAGAAACCACATGTCTGGGGGGGGGGGTTGATTTTATTCATGGTCTATTTGGGTTATAAAAAGAATTGTAACCTTTTCTTCAACTTAATCTTACATGATAAAATGGTAAATGAAGACAACTTCTCATAAATATACAGTGCTCCCAAAAATAAAATGGTAAACATTGCCGACTTTTCAAAATATACAGTAATCCCCAAAATAAAATAATAAGTATTGAAATCTTCTTATAAATATAAAGTGCTCCCCAAAATACAATGGTAAGCATTGACGACTTTTCAAATATTCAGTGCTAGCTCTCAAAATGATATGGAAAATGAAGACGACTTTACATAAATATGCAATGCTCCGTAAAATAATATTATAATCATAGACGACTTCTCAAAAATATTCTGTGCTCTCCAAAATGATATGGAAAATGAAGACGACTTTATATAGAATGCTCCCCAAAATGATATGGAAAATGAAGACGACTTTATATACAGTGCTCCCCAAAATGATATGGAAAATGAAGACGACTTTATATTCAGTGCTCTGCAAATGATATGGAAAATGAAGACGACTTAATATACAGTGCTCCCCATAATGATCTGGAAAATGAAGACGACTTCACATAAATATGCAGTGCTCCGTAAAATAATATTATAATCATAGAAGACTTCTAAAAAATGTTCAGTGCTCTCCAAAATAATATGGTAAATGAAGACGACTTTTCTAAAATAGTGTTTCATGAAAAAAGGTCGTCTTCACTTCACCATTTTATTACTGTATATCTATGAAATGCTGTCAATCTGTACCATTCAATTTTGGGAAGAACTGTTAATTAAATATAAGTCGTCCTTATTTCCCACCTTATTTTGGAGAGCACTGAATATTTATGAAAATCATTATAGATATCTGCCTTGCTTCCATTCTGTCTCTTCTGATTTCTTACTTCCATTTCTCCTTGCTTTCTCTTCTTTCTTCCTCGTCCTTTTTTTCGTTCTTTCATTTTTACTATCTTTCCTTTCATTTTCTCTTTCATTCCTTTCTTCTTCTATTCTCCCTTCCTTCCTCCCCTTTTTTCTTTAATTTCATTCCTATTCTCCAATATCCCTTTGGTCTTTCCTATCTTTCTTTCTTCTATCATTCCTTCCTCCTTCCTTTCTAACATGCTGTAATTCTCGAATAACAACAGCTAAATCTCACAAACTTTAACAAATTAAGTATTTATTTACAGTAAACTTCTACTAATTTGTCCATGTAAGACATTACATTTTCATTACAAAAAGTAGATATAATTAGGATTATTTCATATCATATATATCATATTTCTCATCCTTCAGTTTTTTTCTCTTGGATTGTGGTTCAGAGAACTCTCCTGAAGTTAGTTCACCATGCTTTATTTCGGTGAATTCCACTTCTCTTTTAAATCCTTCCAATGCAGTATAGATCGTTTGAGGGCCTGGTTGGCATTGATTAAAATTTCCATTGAAGGCCTCAAGGCTGTTGTTAGTAGTGCTGGTGTGTTCGTTCACTACGTGAAACATACACCACATATCAATGGGAAATACAGGCTGTTTAACTCTTCCATTTCTGGCTTTTTTCCTATATATGTAGCCTCAAAATATGTGAAGGACGACATTTCGTTTAAAACGTTATTAGTTTTGGCATATTCCTTGATAATATCGGTATAAACATCTAGTACAAATCCAACAACCCCTAGCATGGAGCAGGGTGGAGCTAGAGGAAGGTGGGAGGCTAGGGAGCAGATTGGATCTTGAGAAAAGGGTGGAGCTAGGGACCAGGGTTGAGCTATGGAGCAGGGTGGGGCTAGAGAGAAGGGCGGAGTTAGGGAGCATGGCAGAGCTAGGGAGCAGGGTGGAGCTAGAGAAAAGGGAGGAGCTATTGACCAGGGCAGAGCTAGAGAGCAGTGTTGAGCTAAAGAGTAGGGCGGAGCTAGAGAGAAAGGTGCAGGGGCTAGGAATCAGGATGGGCCTGGAGAGAAGGGCGGGGTTAGGGCGGATGACAGAGTTAGTCCAAATGACAGAGCTAGGGAGTAGCATGGAGCTAGGGTGCAGGCTGGAGCTGGATCGAAGGGATGAGCTAGAAGTAAGGATGGAGCTAAGGCGGGGAGCTGAGTTTGAAGTAAGGACAAAATTAGAAAGGGAGCGGGGAAAAGATTTTCACTTTTAGATGTGTTCATCATTGACAGCTTTGATCGACTGAGATATTTATGCTGCGTAGAGACATATGTGTCAAGTTTGTTTACAAACAACAACTAGTTTTAAGAAGTATGATTTGCGTAGAGACTATTGGCCGGGTCAAGAGTCCGGTATCTTAAGAGCGGTATATTAGCTAATACCGCTCTAATACCACTCTTAACACTAACACCGGTGTTTAGGAAATACGGATTCATAAGTCGCTAATGCTGCCTAATTTGTGGCAGGATTATCTAGCCTAGAACAGCTTATGCGTTCATAAGTCATCCTAGCTAAAACCAGGATTATCATCCAAACTTTACCGTTTTGACTCTTCTGCGCAACTCTTTTCTCTTCTCAACTTAATAATTTGTTAATAATTATAAAGACGACTTTTAAATAATACATTTTTTATTATATGACGAAAGATAGATTAAAAATTTATGAAAATATCTTGCAAACTAAACTTTTTACATTTCATTATCAAAGTTAAAAAAANAATCTTTCATTTTAAGATTTTAATCCTTCCTCCCAACATTTGAATCTTCCTTCTAACGTTAGTATCCTTCCTCCCAATGTTTAAATGATAATTTTTTCTAAAAATACCTATTTTCATAGTTGTTACTTCTAATCCTAAAGAGAGTTATCAAACATAAAATGCAACTCATTCTTAGTCTTATTCCCTAAACGGCTAACTTTATCTGTTTTCAGGAACCTATGAGTGCGGACAATTCAGCACAAATAAAGTCCTCTAAACAGGCACTTATATATGTATGTGGATTTATTGCCAAAAAAAAACTCCGCACAAAAGTTCCCGGCCTTGTGAGAGGCAGTGAGGATAAAACAAACTGTGATTGGATAGACTGAAAATCTAGAGTATCCCTGGTTTATCCATCTAAAGATCTTTTGGAAGAAGTTGAGAAATAAGAGA